TTGTTTTTATTATGTTATCATCTTCTTCCAGAAGCGCGATTTCTGTATCGGGTCGATTGACTAAATAAACATGCAAAACATCTTTCAAAAACTCGCTCGGCATCAGTTACCCCCTACATGTCCTTTTCTTGTTTGGTGTGTATGCCAGTCTTATATCTCAATGCGAAAGAAAGAAAAATGAAGAGCTGTCGAAGCCATTTAGCCCGGGTTTACATTACTGATTAAATATTGTTGAGCTATTTGCATATGTTCCGGCCCATGAACCTAACACCGAATCAGGGAGGGCAACTTTGTAATTTCCACCAAAACAGGCTTTTTTGGCCCAATAGATTCTTGTTGCTGTATTAAGTAAAAATTCTCTGATGGTGGGCCTCGAATTATGTTTAGGACCGGAGGGATTCGTCGACTGAATCCGTATAGTTTGTCTTTGTTAGTTATCGAGATAAGTGACTTTACCATATGCTTTTGTAAAATTTGCATCACATGGTTACTGAATGAATGAAAATTTAGCTATTCTGAGGCATGCTATGTTGTAAAGTTCGATCAAGCACTGAATGGATTTTCAAGTCTGCTGTTATATACATTCAAAATCATTATGTGGGCGAATAATTTCGAATCGTATATTAGCATGTGGAATATGACATATGGGTTTCGGATTGATGCTCATGGTCCACCAACCAGTTGGGATATGATAGCTGTTCACATGCCGGTTTTGTTCTAGAGCTTAATAACAGCGGACGTGATTTCCGGGACTTAACTATGACCGATGTGATTATTGGCCTTTGTCACATTGCAAAGCGTGAGCGTAGTGTTCTGGCATGAGAAATGAGCTTGATATTTGTTGACATCTAAACTTTTGCTCGTAATCCAGCTTGGATGCGAAAGGGGTGTTGAAGTACTTTATATGCTCTGAACCATTTTCATATTTAAACCATTTCTTCTCATAAATATAGATAAATTCATTTAAATGCATTTAGAAAATTTCCGCATTTAAAGAGACGAATAGTCAAGTTATCACTTATTGCTAGTTTTCTCATATTGCATATAAAGTTCATCTCGCAATTGAAGCTTATATAGTTTTCAAATTTGACTTTGCATCCTTAGACCTAAGCGTGCTTATCCTCATACCGTTCAAAGGGTCCTGTACTGGGGGCGTTGTATATTGTAACAAGGCCTTATTTGCTTGTAGCCCAAAACGGCTCAAATTACTATCTTCTCCCTCTTCTTTACTATTTAATTTAGTCGTTGCTTTACATACATTATTTGTATTTGGTACCTTTTAAAAATGTTTGATCTACTACCTAAGTGCATGGACATGTAGATGCGTGTTTGTGCGAAAAGTTTTCCTTAAAAGAGAAACAATACCAACCTACGGGAATTAGTTTAATCACCGGGTCCCTGAGGCCAATTCTCTGGTTCATTACCGGGCTCCTAACCAGCCTAAGAAAGACTCTAAAATAATCATGAAAGAATGAGAGAAACTAAGTTGAGATTGGTAGGATTAGGCGGAGTTCATAGGAAGCGTAGGCGTCACCTCGGGAGAGGATTATTTGCGCCCGCCTAACAATCAGTTAAACCCTACAAGGCTCATCTTGGGAGGGTCGCGACAAAGTCTATAATCATTTATGATATTTAGATGACTAGTGACAAGTGGTATTGCGTACTAGCTTTAGTGTGATTTAACAACTGCATAACTATTGTAAAATTGCATAATTCATTGCTTGATCGCATAGAAGTGATGATTGTCGCCCGTGGATTTGCTCGCCTCGTTTTACTACCATTTCAAGTTTCAAAAATAGAGAAGAAAAATTAATTTACGAAAAGGTCTAACATACCGTACATTTTCATAGAAAGATTCATCTCGGTTAAAGGCCTCGCCTTTATTTGATGAAAAGGTAGCCGATCATTCTCTAAATTCTAGCTATAGATTTGGGGTGTGACGACGACCATCACTTAGTTTGCGACTGCTTGCTCTTCTTACTATCCTTAACTCAGTTCGGATTGATTAGCTGATCAGTATACTTGGGATACACGTATCCGGCTGGTAGTTTTCCACGTATATAAATAAGGTTTATGAGACAATAGAAACCGAAAACTCAATCTTTAATCTTAAGAGCACCTGCTAAAGCCAAAATAGCATAAGATTTTCTATTTGTATATTTGGTCGGCAGTTTTTCCTTAAATTTAAGTCTAGAACAGAGTACAGTTGAAGATTCACTCAGGTACATAATCCACATTTCTCGAAAAAGAAAGAGCAATCGGTGAAAGCCACAAAAATGTTCAGAAAAAAAGTTAGCCACGTACGAAGGGCAACAGTTTCATGTTAACAGAAGGAGAGAGTTAAAAGAAGAGCCATTTTAACGTTCCTCCTAAAATGGCATCGTATGTTGACAGCAGGGCCACCTCCTGTGCATGATCCCCTACAATGAGCGCCCTCGAGACCTTATTACCATATCCATCAAGAAAAGTATTCTGCTCCCGCAAATCTCTACATGTTGCGGTTTTAAGATTCGATTAGAATTTAAACTATCGTACCGGTCAAAATAAGAATATATGAAACCAGCATGCATGAATGGATGCAATTTGGACACTTCCGTCAAGAAGACTTGGTCTTTGTCGAGTTATGCAATTCAAGTGTGAAGAAGTCAAGGTCTTCAGGTTTCGTGTGTTGATTTTGCAACCATCGGATCATAACTACTCCGGATAATGACGGAAATGGTCCATAAACTTTGATTCAATGTGCAATGTGATCTCTAAACTTTTCATTTGTTCAATGTGATCCCTAAACTTTAACCCAATGTGTAATGTGGTCATTAAACTTTTAATTTATTCAATATAGTCTATGAATTTTTTGTACATGTTAAATATAGTCCTTAAACTATATGAAAATGTTCAATGCCGTCCTTCAATTAATTCAAGATCAGAAATAGTATTAAACTTTTTCATGTAATCCAAGGACAAAATTGGACATATACTAAATGTTCAGGGACTATATTAAACAAATTAACAGTTTATGGATCACAATGCATAAACTGTAAAAATTCAGGGATCATATTGAATAAATTAAAAATTTAGGGATCATATTATATATTGGACTAAAATTAAGGACTGTTTGTATTATTTTCCTTGACTATTCGATAGAATAGACACGTGCCTGCTCAGGAAGTCAAGGTCTTTTGGGGTTTCGTATGTGGTGGTTTTTGGATCAGTAGTCGTTGCGAACGGTTCATGGGAAGTCACAGTCTTTATGGACTTTTTTGACTGACAAGCCTTGAACTTATTATGCAGCATAAGAAATGGTAAATGAAAAAGGAAAAAATAGTCAAACGTTAAGGAGGTGATGTGTGAAAAGCTAGAAAGTGTTCGTACACAAACGGAAAAAGTATCAAAAAAATCGTGCATTTATTATATTGGTATCAATTTAATCATTAATTTTTTAATTAGATCAATTTAATTTTAAAGCTTTTTACATTGATACTAATTCAATCTATCAAGACAATTTTGGCTGGAAATCGTTGACGTGGACGCCAGCTGTCTCTATATGACATAGTCGGTACTGACGTGGATATTTTTTTAATTTTTTAATAATTTTTTCTTTTCTTTTTTTTCGTCTCTTTTCCTTCTTTTCTTTTTCTTTTTTCATTTTTTTCTTATTTTCCTCTGCCAGTCGCCAACCTTCGTGATGGCCGGTGAGGGCTGGGTGAGGGGCTTCGCCAGCCTCTAGCAATGGTGAGGGTCCTCGTTGGCCTCTAGCAATTTTCTCTCTCTCCACTTCATTTTTTTCCCGAAAAGTTTCCCCTCAAAGCTTCATCGGATTCTACATCCCCAAAGAGTAGTGGTTTATTTTTTCGATGTTCCTATTAGGGTTTTTGAATTGGCGGAATCGATTGGGGAATGTCGATTGGGAGCTCCAATTCGGGGAGCTAGTAGTTTAGATCTCTAAGTTAGGGCTTGAATTGAAGGCCGTGAATTTGATGGAGGTCGATTCTAGATGGAGGCCCCTCGCCATCTGGCCTCGATCAGCCCTCACTAGATTTGGTGACAAGCAGCCTCGCCGACCTTTGGCAATGGCGAGGGTTGGGCAATATTTGGGGAGGGTCCCCTCGCCGAATTTGGCGAGAGGTGGCCTTGTCCAGACCTCCCAAAGGCCAGTGAGGGCATCTTGACCCTCGCCCTTGCCAATAGTCGAAGACCTCCATGGGCCACCATGGAGGTTGGCGACTGGCAGAGGGGAATAAGGAAAAAAGAAAAAAAGAGAAAGGAAATGAAAAGAGAAGAAAAAGAAAAGAAAAGAAAAGAAAAGAAAAAACTAATACAAAATTAAAAAAAAAATTTAAATTATAAAAAAAATATCTACGTTAGCACCAGCCATGCCATGTAGACGGTTGGCGTCAATGTCAGTAATTTTCGGCCTAAATTGGTCGGATTGACTTAATTGGTACTAATGTGAATATATTTAATACTAAATTAGTTCAATTGAAAAGTTTATGACTGGATTGGTACTAATGCAATAGGTTTGAGACTTTTGTGGTACTTTTCCCTACACAAACACAAGAGAAGGCTCCTCGTTTTACGTCACACTCTTCATCTTCTACCTCTCTCTGTCAAATGCTCGCAAGCCAGTCAGTCCGAATCGCTTTTAGAAAGGAAGCATTAGGCCATGTACACAATCCACCACTCATTATGAGTGGTACAATCACAAAGTCTGAGCAAAAAGATAGTCACCGGCCTTCAATTCTTCCCTATTTAACGATAGCTGCTGATATGCATTACCATTTTCATTAGAACAGTATTTGGCCGTTGGCAGTCCACCTCAAGGAAAGCCCACGACTGTAGCAAAAAAATAAAAAACATAGTTTGTCAAGATTTCCCTCAAAGTCAACCACGTGGTTCAAACCATATGAAATTGGTCCAGATTGATAACAACTGAACCTTCACAATCAGCAGAATTAAATAAGCAGGAAATTGGTGATCCTTGAAAATTGGCGTTCCGTGAACGGAGTAGGAGAATGACGGAAACAGAGTAACCGAGCTATTTATATATGCCTCTTCTGGCATATATAAATAAACAAAAGAAATCATGGGTTCACCAAAAGTAGAGACACTAGTGCCTCTTCTGGCTTCATTTGCCCTTTTCATGGTGCTTCCAATCATCATTCCACAATGTCCAATTCCTGCTTATGCCTCCACACTAGAAGCACAAGCCCTTCTCAAATGGAAATCCAGCCTTCCAAACCAAAACCAATCCTCCGCTTCTCTATCTACATGGACTCTCCCTCCTCAAAATGCCACCGACCCCAACGCAACAGCGGCGAGCCCGTGCGGTTGGTACGGAATCTTGTGTAACCTAGCTGGGAGCGTGATTGGAATCAATCTCCCCAGTTCGAACATCAGAGGTACACTCGAGGAGTTCCCATTTTCATCTTTGCTGTATCTTACCTATATAGACATGTATAGAAATGAACTCTTTGGTGGTATTCCGCCTCAAGTCGGTGTTTTAATCAATCTCACCTACCTTGAACTCTCCATCAATCGACTATCCGGGAAAATACCGCGCGAGATTGGTGAGCTCACGAAGCTTGAGGTGCTTCACCTTTTCTCTAACGAGTTGAATGGCTCTATCCCTGATGAAATAGGTCAGTTGCGTTTCCTGAACGAGCTTGCCTTGTTTTCAAACCAGTTGGATGGATCTCTTCCTTCTTCCTTGGGTAATTTGAGCAGCCTCACCAGGCTATATATCTATAACAATTCATTTTCCGGTTTTATACCTCCTGAAATGGGGAACTCGACAAATTTGGAGGAAATTTACATGTATACCAACTTCCTGACAGGGCCAATTCCTCCCACTTTTGGGAAATTGATGAAACTAACAGAACTGCACGTATTTGATAATGAACTTACCGGTTCTATCCCACCGGAGCTGGGAAACTTGAAACTTCTCCGCAAACTCAGCCTACTCAACAATAATCTTACCGGTTCAATCCCCTCAACATTAGGCAATATGACTGACCTAGTCGTTTTATTCCTCCGCAACAATCAACTTTCGGGACAGTTGCCAATAGAAGGTTTCTCAAATACATCACTGGAAGTAATTGCTTTGACCAACAACAAATTTGAAGGCCCACTTCCACTTCCATCACCCTCCACATATTACTATTCGATCAGAAACAACAAAATAAAGGGGACTATCTCTTCTTCGATATGCATCGCCACGAACCTCTCATTCCTCCTATTGTCTAATAATAACTTAATCGGTAGCCTACCCGAGTGTTTATCAAACGGTAGCATTGGTTTACTGGTTTTGAACGTGCAAATGAATCGTCTTTCGGGCACAATCCCTGGAAGATTTTCACTGCGAAGTAGCTTGAGAACTCTTGACTTGAGTCAAAATCAATTCGAAGGCACAATGCCACAATCCCTTGTCAATTGCAAAAACCTGGGAGTTCTAGACTTCAGCAACAATAAGATCGAGGATAATTTCCCGGCATGGCTGGGAACATTGCAAGAGCTAAAAGTTCTTATTCTGAGGTCCAACAATTTTAAGGGTCGTTTGGATTTTCCAAGGGCAACTCATCTCTTTCCCAAGTTGCGCATTTTGGACCTCTCGGACAACAACTTCGTTGGTCGTTTACCAGCCAATTTGATTGCGAAACTTCAGGGGATGATGAATGAACAAAATGGGCAAGAGCCGCAAGACAACTCATTGTACATGAGGCATACGTCTGGTATCATGACCTATTATGATTCCGTGAATGTGATCATGAAAGGAAAGGAGATTCAGCTATTGTATATCTTGACCATCCTCACAACCTTTGACTTATCGCTCAACTCTTTTGACGGGAACATCCCATATGTTATTGGATATCTCCATTCTCTCATAGGGCTCAACCTTTCCCACAACCGCCTCATGGGGTCCGTTCCTCCAATCCTTGGAAACTTGACTAATCTTGAATGGCTAGATCTGTCTTCAAACAAGCTTAGTGGGAGGATTCCTAGAGAACTGGGAGATTTGGCATTCCTTGGGTATTTGAACCTCTCAAACAACCAACTCACAGGTCGTATACCTCAAGACAAGCAATTGAGCACATTCACGAATGACTCATTTCGGGGAAATCTAGGCCTATATGGAACCCCATTACAAAACACATGCCGTGATGATGCTCAACCTCCTCTGCCACCACCGTCGTTCTTCCAAGAGGATAGTACAGAAGAGTATGCAAGTTGGTTTGATAGACAAGCAGTGGGGATAGGCTATGCGTGCGGAATTGTGATTGGAATCTCTATAGCGCACATTTCATGGGAAATTGGAAGACCCATATGGCTTGTGAGAAAAGTGAGAAGGATGGAGAGAAGAGGAGCCAAGTGGATGAAGAAGCCAAAGAGGAAGGCGATCAAATTTCATGGAGGCCAATGAAATTGTGGGGAAGTGGTCCCTTTGAACTATGTGCAATGTAGATCAAGGAATACAACTTTTGTGGGATTGAAATGCAATTTCGCATATGAATGCTCGTTTTTATTATGTTATCATCTTCTTCCAGAAGTGCGATTTCTGTATCGGGTCAATTGACTAAATAAACATGCAAAATATCTTTCAAAAACTCGCTCGGCACCATTTACCCCCTACATGTCCTTCTCTTGTTTAGTGTGTATGCCAGTCTTATATCTCAATGCGAAAGAAAGAAAGATGAAGAGCTGTCGAAGCCATTTAGCCTGGGTCTACATTACTGATTAAATAGTGTTGAGCTATTTGAATATGATCCGGCCCATGAACCTAACACCGAGTCACGGAGGTCACTGTTTGTCCAATGGATTCTAGTTGCTGTGTTAAGTAAAAATTTTCTGATGATGGGCCTTGAATTATGTTTAGGACCGTAGGTATTCGTCGGCTGAATACGTATAGTTTGTCTTTGCTAGTTAGCAAGATAAGTGACTTTTTCCCACTTTATGCTTTGGTAAAATTTGCATCACATGGTTACTGAATGATTGAAAATTTAGCTATTTTGAGGCATGCTGTTTGCAAAGTTGGACCAAGCATTGAATGGACTTTCAAGTCTGCGGTTATATACATTGAACATCATTATGTGGGCGAATTATTTCGAATCATGTATTAGCATGTTGGATATGACATATGGAAATCGGATTGATGCTTATGGTTGACTCACGTATCGGGATATGATAGATGTGCACATAGCGGTTTTGTTCTTGGGCTTAATCATGGTCGATGTGATTCCGGGGCTTAACTACAGCCGATGTGATTTCTAGCTTTTGTCACACGACGAAGTGTGAGCGTATTGTTCTGGCATGAGGAACGAGCTTGAGATCTATTGATACCTATTTTTTTTTCTTGAAGGTCGTCTTTACATATTTTTTAAATAATTGGAACTTTTTTTCCTCCCAAAATATTTCTTCGAACTTTTCATAGTTGCATTTTAGATCATTTGGGCATTTAGAGCTTCTAAAATGAATGGGATTTCTTGGAAATTATTGTGCATTTTTTTTGCATGCATCATATTTTAGCACAAAATGATTCACATCGATTAAAGGCTTCGTCTTTCATTCGATGAAAGGGTGGCCGATCATTCTATAAATTCTGAATATGGATTGGGGTGTGACAACCACTATCACTAAGTTTACGATTGCTCGCTCTTCTTACTAACCTTAACTCAGTTCGGATAAATTAGCTTATTTGTATACTTGGAATCCACGTATTCAGCTGGTAGTTTTCCACTTGTATAAATAAGGTTATGAGACAATAGAGACCAAAAACTCGATCTTCAATCGTAAGAGTGCATGCTAAAGCCAAAATAGCCGAAGATTCTCTTTTTTATTTTTGGTTGGCAGTATTTCTTTAAATCTAAATCTATTTAGATATTTCATGAATATAGTACGTTTGAAGATTCACACAGGTACATTATCTCCTGCTCTTTTCCAAAAGAGTATATCTAGTTAAAATTTGCAAAGGCAAAGAGGTACATAAATTATTCAAATATTCAATCATATTGAGCTACTAGCTGCAAAGCAACATCCTCATTTTCTCAAAAAAGAAAGAGCAATCAGTAAAAGCCGCAAAAATGTTCAAAAAGAAAGTTAGTTGCCCTTTTTGCACCCTCTGTGCATGGTCCCCCCAATGAGCACCCTTGAGACCTTATTACCATATCCATCAAGAAAAATATTCTGCTCATGCGAATCTCTAAATGTCGCGGTTTTAACATTCAGTTAGGGTTTAAACCATCATACGGGCCAAGGTTAGAAGAATTGAAACCAGCATGCACGTATGCGTGGAATTTGTACACATCCATCAAGAAGTCAAGGTCTTTGTCGAGTTAGGTAATTCGAGTGTGAAGAAGTCAAGGTCCATTGGATCAGTAGGCGTTGCAAATGGTTAATGGGAAGTCACGGTCTTCATGGACATTTTATTGGTGATGTTTGGCCCTAAGAATATCTGACTCCCCATCGCAAGGGAAAGGTCATGTTGCAACTTTCCAGCCTTTTCTTTTTTGACTAACATGCCTTCGACTTATAATGCAGTGCAAGAAATGGCAAATGAAAATGTAGCCAAACGTTAAGGAGGTCGTGTGTAAGAAAAGCTAGAAAGTGTTCATGCACAAACACAACACAAAGCTCCCCATTTTACGTTACGCTCTTCATCTTCAACCTCTCCCTTTCAAATGCTTGGAAGGCATGCAGTCCGAATTGCTTCTAGAAAGGAAGCATTAGGCCATATACGACGCCCACAACAAATTATGAGTGCTACAATCACAAAGTCTGAGCAAAAAGAGAGTGACTGGTGTTGCGGAAAATGTGCGGGACAAGCGAATCGGATAATAGATTTAAGGATAGAAAAAAATCGGACATCGAATTTATGTGATTTAGTCCAAATATCGGATATTAATTAAGTATATTTTATCAATTTAACTGTGTGTGTTGATGCTCGTCCCCCGGTTGGGGTTAAAAGTGAGCAACACATGAATTTTACTATAAACACAAGCGACAAAACTGAGCCTTCACAATCAGCAGCTTTTTTGTTGGGGTCAAAATCAGCAGCATTTAATAAGTAGGAAATTGGTGATCCTTGAAAATTGGCGTTCTTTGAATGGACCATGAGCAGAAACAAAGTTACCAAGCTTTATATATATGCCGTAGGGTTGATTATCAACCCCCAAAACAAACAAAAGAAATCATGGGTTCACCAAAATTAGAGACACTAGTGCCGCTTCTATCTTCCTTTGCCCTTTTCACAGTGCTTTTAGTCATCATTCCACAAGGTCCCATTCCTGCTTATGCCTCCACGCTAGAAGCACAAGCCCTTCTCAAATGGAAATCCAGCCTTCACCGTAACCAATCCGCCTCTTCTCTATCTACATGGACTCTCCCTCCTCAAAATGCCACTGACTCCAATGCGGCGGCGGCGAGCCCGTGCGGTTGGTACGGCATCTCGTGTAACCTAGCCGGGAGTGTGATTGGAATCAATCTCACCAGTTCGAACATCATAGGTACACTCGATGAGTTCCCGTTCTCGTCTTTGCCATATCTTACATATATCGACGTGTCCATAAATGAACTTTTCGGTGGTATTTCGTCTCAAGTCAGTCTTTTAACCAATCTCACCTTTCTTGACGTCTCCTTCAATCGACTATCTGGAATAATACCGCGGGAGATTGGTGAGCTTACGAAGCTCGAGATGCTTTACCTTCACTCTAATGAGTTGAATGGCTCTATCCTTGATGAAATAGGTCAGTTGCGTATGCTGAACAATCTTGGCTTGTATTCAAACCAGTTGGATGGATCTCTTCCTTCTTCCTTGGGTAACTTGAGCAGCCTTGCTTGGCTATACATCTCTCACAATCCACTTTCTGGTTTTATTCCTCTTGAAATGGGGAATTTGACGAACTTGGAGGAGATTTACATGAGTTACAACTTCCTGACAGGGCCAATTCCTCCCACTTTTGGGAAATTGATGAAACTAACAGAATTGCACGTATTTCGTACTGAACTTACCGGTTCCATCCCATCGGAGCTTGGGAACTTGAAACTTCTCCGGAGACTCTGCCTATACCACAATAATCTTACCGGTTCAATCCCCTCAACATTAGGCAATTTGACAGAGCTTACCCATTTTTATCTACATGAGAACCAGCTTTCTGGTAATATTCCTGATGAGTTAGGAAACCTCCGGGCTATGATCCACGTGGAGCTACGCCAAAATCAGCTCACCGGTCCCATTCCTCCTTCTTTGGGTAATCTGACTGACCTACGATATCTATACCTCCGCCGTAATCGACTTTCGAGTTCGATTCCTGGATCCTTAGGAAATCTCCGGGCTATGCTCTACTTACGTCTGGATGAAAATGAGCTCACTGGTCCAATTCCTTTTTCTTTCGGTAATTTGACTAACCTACTCCATTTAATCCTCCACTACAATCAACTTTCGGGACGCTGGCCAATAGAAGGTTTCTCAAATACATCATTGTCAGTAATTGGTTTGTCCTACAACAAATTTGAAGGCCCACTTCCACTTCCATCACCCTCCACATATTTCTATTCGATCGCAAACAATAAAATAGAGGGGAAGATCTCTCCTTCGATATGCATTGCCACCATCCTCTCATTTCTCATCTTGTCTAATAATAGCTTAATTGGTAGCCTACCCGATTGCTTATCAAACTTCAGCATTGGTTTATCGGTTTTGGACTTGCGAATGAATCGTCTTTCAGGCACAATCTCTAGAAGATTTTCACTGCGAAGTAGCTTGAGAACTCTTGCCTTGAGTCAAAATCAATTCGAAGGCACATTGCCACAATCCCTTGCCAATTGCAAAAACCTCGAAGTTATAGATTTCAGCAATAATAAGATAGAGGATAATTTCCCGGCATGGCTGGGAACATTGCCAAAGCTAAAAGTTCTTATTCTGAGGTCCAACAATTTTAAGGGTCGTTTGAATTTTCCAAGGGTAGCTCATCTCTTTCCCAAGTTGCGCATTTTGGACCTCTCGGACAACAACTTTGCTGGTCCTTTACCAGCCTATTTGATAGCGAAACTTCAGGAGATGATGAATGGACAAAATGGGCAAGAGTCGCAAGACAAATCACTGTACATGAGGCATGCGTATGGTATCATGGACTATTATGATTCCGTGAATGTGATTGTGAAAGGAAAGGAGATTCTGCTATTGAGTAGCTTGACCATCTTCACAACCTTCGACTTATCGCTCAACTCTTTTGAAGGGAACATCCCGGATGTTATTGGACATCTCCATTCTCTCATAGGGCTCAACCTTTCCCACAACCACCTCACGGGATCTATTCCTCCAACCCTTGGAAACTTGACTAATCTTGAATGGCTAGATCTATCTTCAAACAAACTCAGTGGGAGGATTCCTAGAGAACTGGGAGATTTGGCATTCCTCGGGTATTTGAATCTCTCAGAGAACCAACTCACAGGCCGCATACCTCAAGACAAGCAACTGAGCACATTCACGAGCGACTCATTTCGTGGAAATCTGGGCCTATATGGAACCTCATTACAGAACACAAGCCATGATGATGCTCAATCTCCTCCGTCAGCACCATCGTTCTTGCAAGAGGATAGTACAAAAGAGTATGCAAGTTGGTTTGAATGGAAAGCAGTGGGGATAGGTTATGCGTCTGGAATGGTGATTGGAATCTCTATATCGTACATTTCATGGGAAACTAGAAGACCCAAATGGCTTGCGAGAAAAGTGAGAAGGATGGAGAGAAGAGGAGCCAAATGGATGAAGAAGCCAAAGTGGAAGGCAATCAAATTTCATGGAGGCTGATGAAATTGTTGGGAAGTGGTCCTTTGAACTATGTGCTATATAGATCAAGGAATACAACTTTTGTGGGATTGAAATGCAATTTCGCTTATGGACGCTCGTTTTAATTATGTGATCATCTTCTTCTCTAAGTGCGATTTCCGTATTGGGTCCATTGACTAAATAAACATGAAAGAGATCTTTAAAAAACTCGCTTTGCATCATTAACCCCCTATATGTCCTTTTCTTGTTCAGTGTACGCCATTCTTATATCTCCATGGGAAAGAAAGAACGATGAAGAGCTGTCGCAGCCATTTAGCCTGGATTTAAGGATTACTAATTCTGTCATTGTTCCACTCCACATTTCTGTTGAAGTTGAAGGTCGGTGATAGACCGTTGATTTGCACCTATCACACTCTTGTGCAATAGAAAACAGGGGTATTAAAGGTTCAAACCTCAATGCACCTTCACAGTTTAGATTCAAAGTAATCTTATTGCAAAATTATAGGGTCCCGTAGGCCAAGAAACTAAAACTTTTGCTTGATTGTAGATTTTGGAAGTTTCTGGTAATTTTCAAATACTATAGGCAGAAGAATATGGCCAGTAACTTGCTAATTTAACTTGTTGATAAGATACCAACATCATTATGAATTTACCAACGTCGTAATTTATTAGTAAATAATTATCTTCTTTTGCTTTCAGTAAGTATAGTCTGTAAGTTACCAACATCGTGATGAGTTTACCATCTTCCAAATAACTTAGTAACTTCTTTTAAATTTTACAAGTAAGATTAGGCAATTGCGAATGTTCATATAGTTTTTTTTTTTGGTTGGAAGTTCAAATAGATTAGTAAGTTACTGATTTCTTTTAAGTTTCATAACTTTAGTCAGTAAGTTACCCACATTGTAATGAATTCATTAATGTTCAAATAAATTTGCAAGTTAACCATTTCTTTTATATTCTATGACTACGTTTAGTTGCCATTTACAAGTTTAGTTTAATGATCAATAGATTTAAACTCATTTACGTGAATTTTTTTTAGAACATGAAAGGTCAATCAGTCTTTTCAATAGGTTTATCCCCTTATTTTGTTTGGTGACATAGCAAGAATAAGGGTGCATTTGATTTAACCTTTCCCTTAGCTCAATGCAACTCTCACTTAGCATTTGCATAAGAAATACGCGGAAGGAGGCATCCATGCCTTAAGCCATTCCATTGACTAATAACTTATATATAAACATCATCGAAATCTTTGGGTTCTCACTGGGGAAAAAGCTAAACAAATGATGATATGAATTGTTCATTTTTACACCCCCCTCCCTCTTCTCTTGGATTAATCTATCATACTTATTAGTTATTAACAAGTTTCGGTCGGGTGCATTAGCATTTTCCTTTGGATCTTGAGCATTGAATACATCAACAAGGAACCAAAGGTGACGTTCATTTATATGAATGGCCAAATTCTTCATCTATATCATTATCGCTTATTTTTAACATTATTTACATTTATTTGAATATATATGTGTGCGATTCTCTTCATTTCTTTCGTCATCTTCTCTAGTATAATTCGATATGAGTGGTCTCTTTGTAATTCTGCAAACAGAACCAAACACATTTTGGAAATCATAAGCTTTCCATTCTGAAGACAATATATTACTTTCCAAACCTTTCTTGGCCATTTTCCGTCCGGAGCATAAACACTATAACTAGTGAATATATGTAGTTGACTCCTTCTAATTATTGAGCTATATTAATTACTTGATTTTATTTTATTAGTGCTTCACGGACAATCACAAATTTCGATTTCATATCCAAAGTAAAAATTGTCTTTGGAAATTTATTTTTTAGCAAGCTTCAAATTGATTTTGTAACTTCCAATGCCACTTCGATCAAATGTGAGTATCTCTTTCATTTTCACTCCATTTGTGTAATACTTAATCCCTCAAAGTCATGCGTGCAACGTCTATATCATATTCAAATGAAGCTATATGGAATTCAATACTTCAAGGGCTAGTGGAAGAGGTCGAGGGTGGCGGCGTGAGGAAACGAAGGGGTTTGGGAGAAAGATGGGAGTGGCGGGAACGTCGATACTTGGCTTTCTTCTTCCTTTCGCATTTCTCGTGATAGCCTGAGGTAGCTTTCTCATTCTTAGCAAAGAGAGATTTCCCCGTCAATTATTGTTTTGTCAATGAGAACCAACTCCTTTTCTTTTCATTTCTCGATGGCATTATCTTTATCAAGATTGAGACTTCACTGATCGAAGAATTATCACTTTCCTAACCTCTTTAAAAGTATATTTTCAAGAAGGAAAAGAAAAGATGGAGGAAGATCTAAGACAAATGAAGAGCAATACATAAAAATAGACCCATCTACGTTAATTTTCACGATAGTCTGCTTTTTTTTTTTTTTTTTTTCGAGATTTTGTTATCTATTATTTGTGGACACATAATGCATTGATGAATAATATTTAACATCAGTCTGTCATGACTCGACTTGATGTAAAAAGGCTCTTGTTAACGACGTCCACGAGACACTTGTCAACCATACCATAAAAAGAAAGGTCTTCATTTTCAATGCACTAAACGCTTTCTATGAGAGATGGGCATAAGAGTTATGATACGAAATGATTTAATGCATTTAGTGATAGATTATCTAATGAATAACTGCAGCAATTTAATTGAAATGGTATTAGTGTGCATGAACGGAGATCTATATATTACAAGTATGCCTTAAAGTAAGGAATTAATTTAAGAGGTAACCCAAATAGCGGTGGATACCTAGCCCTAAAATCTCTCTTCGAACACTAAACTTGAGAATATCGAGAGGGTAATAGCCTCTTAAACTCCCCAATGAAATCTACAAAGATATTAAGATGGGAAGATCATCTCAATGATTTTGTTGCTTATTTATGCACACGAGTTATGAATATGGAAAAATTCATTTTGTTTTTTAGGTTCATTTACACACTCGGTGAAGAAGATTGAACACATTGAATTAAAAGGCTTTGGAATACCGATAAATATAGGATCAGTAAATTTACAAATATAACTAAATTTGTACAAAATTTTGAAGCACGACATATAAATTCTCAATTAATACTATATGATTTGTTATCTAGTTTCATTATTTATCTCATTTTCTTTGTCATAAAATTAGCCTATGTGAGAGATCAGGAAATTTGAGAAAAGGTAGGCGGTTGGAATAAACATTCTCTATCATGTCCAGGTGATATCAAATAATCTATAATTAGTAATTGAAATTCGTTTCTCAATCAAGAACTTAAAGTAAATTCGTGCTTGCACGGATAAGACAACTACTTGGCACTAAAAAATCAAGTCATTTATGACTAACGACTAAAAAAGCCGTATGTTCAGACATAATTATGATGTAGATCGTGCTTAATTTAATTAAAGTATATTTTATTAAATCCGACAGCACAATCAATAAATCCAACCGCTACCACAAATCAGAAATTTATCATTCACTAACAAATATTTACATATAACATTACCCAAAACGGCATGCACTTCGAGCATACATATTGTAATTGCCCTCGTTCAACATCAACAGAAGCAGCTGGGCTTGGCTCCACCTCCACACTTCTTCTTGTCCTCTGCACCGGCATCTCGCTGCAGCCGTCTCCGGTCTCTGATGAACGGCAACAGGGAAGGCTCCACTGGCCCATCTTTTGTGTCGAGGTAGATGCACGAGCACAGCTCGAGAGACATGAAAAAGGCACCGGTGATGCCACGAACGACCCACGAAGCTACCGCATCGAGCATCTCGCAGGCAGGGGTAAAAGTGATGCTGCTCGAGTTCTGGGCCTTGGTCTGTCCTAGCCATTCGACCAGCTTGCGGCGGCCCTTGTAGGGGCACCATCGGGTGGCGCGTCTCCTAGGACGAGGATCATGAGAATGACGACTCATTGAGGTTAATGTTATAAGGAGTGCATGATGGCGCTATAAAAGAGAACTAGGGGAATCTGATCGGAATTAGGTTTTAATAAAGACATTTTGTAGCTTAGCTCAAACACCATCAATTATCATTACTAAAAATATGCTCTCTCCTTGTATTTTCGGAACGTTATAAGCATATATAGTTTGATATTACCAATGATGTTCGTATAACATTATTGTCCACGTTCATTCATAGAGAAAAGTGTGAATGTATAAGATACGACTATATTTTCCTTTTTTTTTTAGGTAAATCCTAAAATTAATTCGAAATGAGAATATTATGGTCGGCCCGGATTTAAAAAGAAAAGGTTCTTACTTTAGGTAGTGGGCAATGATTATGCCGAGATATAAGTAAAGGAAAGAATTTTTTTCGGGAGCTTATGGATAGAGCCCTAACAAAAAGCGGATGCTAAATCCATACAATAATCAAGCGACACAAATAACATTCAGAAATATCAACGTTTATTATGAGAAATTTGGAGCAAATTAGATATCATATAGCAGAAATTATGAATGACCGGTTTCAAAATGGGTAGCTTTCAGACCTATACTTTCAAAATTGGTTCCCTACCTAAAACCGAACTAGCTTGTTCCAAGATCAACCCAGGTGCCGTCGTAACTCTTAGTAATATAACTCTTATTTGGGAAAATATACCAAGTGAACATTTTGCAGCATAATGGTCAAGGCATTATTGGGCTTTTAAGACTTCCCAAATTGGAAACCCTTATCCAACGTATCTGTCTATTTTTCAAACAAATAAAAAAAAAACACTCAAAAATGGTTGAGCCCATTTCCCCAATGTTTCCATCTATTCGGTTCCCGTATTAGACAAGTCCGGCTGCTAACCCCTAGCAGGAACTTTTTCGAACGTCAAATCTGTATTGGCGTTAATATGTTAAGTTATGGCAAAATTAAAAAATCAGTAGGGGAAAAGACATTATTCGCATTAAACACATGATATGGTGTGTGGCATAATTGTTGATAAATTAAATGCTTAGACCATTAATTAAGTAGTGGATAAAATCCAGGCTCTTCTTTTCTTAATCACACGATGTAATTCTCCAAAA